TATTTACGTAATTGACTTTTAGAAATACAACGCTTGAAATAGGCAGCTTGAAATACGCGCACTTTAATTGTGATATCTGAAACAATAAATTACGAAGCCTTTGTTGCTTTGCTCCGCCTTGACAATGGGGTAATGCAGTAATCACTTCGGAGGAAAGCGCACCTTATCTTCGTCCAATGGGATCCTCCCTGTTTACGCTTTGCCGCTTATATTACAGATCTAAAATATTTTCGCCATTGCAAGTAAATGTCGCGAGAACAATAAGTATTCTATCCAATGAACGCGTTTCCTCCGTTCAAATTGAAGTATTCTTCAGTAGCACTTGATAGTTTGTGGATTCATCTAGCATACCGCTGTTTCTCGTTAGTTTTATTTAGAATTTCTTCTCAACTTCTCCGTGTCATTGCTTTCATTCAGCGATAAATGAATTACAGTCTTCACTCTTCTGGTTGGCAGTTCATTCAGTTTCCGGCGCTGACCGAGAGATTCGCTTAAAACATGACCCGATAGGGAGGGTGACAGTTATTGTGGGTGTCTAACTGTGTGTTGGCAGTCATGCATTAATGTACATGCACACGCGAATGAATTGCGTGTGCATGTACTCCCAGTTGTAAGTCTCAGGGAGCATTTATGGCTGCACGAAATGAGAGGATGACAATATGCAGTTGATTATATCAATGCTTTTTTTATTCTTCAATTGACCTGATTCGTATTACAATGAATTCAGGACATTGATTGTAAGTGATGAAAATGCTTCCATCTTGCGAGGAGCTATGTAACCTTCAAAGGGTTAACGTGAGCCTCAGCAATTTCTACCAGGTTGACTTTGTCGCCATCACCGGTCCTGACAATGTAATGTTCTACAACGTGATTTGGGGGCAGTGTGATCGGCTGCTTTGTTCTGTGCAAAACAAATAAAAGAGAAGAAGAAAAAAAGCAGCTATAAGAAAAAACAAAATAAAACAAAACAAAAACGTAAAAAAGGGGAAAAAAAGGACGGAATCCCAATGGCACAGATACGTGAACATAAAAAGCGCATTTCTGCTTTCATGAACGTGCGAATTTTGACTTTGATAAACATTGGCATTTTTGCGTGAAGAAAGGGTACGAAAAAAAGGGTTTAAGCTTTACAGGGGATTAGTTTTGAGAAAGGTTAGTATGGAGCCGTTCTTTTGAGGCTGTCTTTATCCCTGTGATGTCTTCAGCTTCGGCTTCAATTTTGAAAATGCAAAATAGGAGAGTCAAAAATTCAAAAGGGCATTTCACAACTGACAAGCTCATCCAGAAAGAAAAGTCTTACTTGTAAGTAGTGTGAAACTGGCATTTGTGGTAACCACCTCCTTTGAGCACAAGGAACATAGTCACATCACCTTTCAACAGCCCTTCAGAGACAGTCATTTTTTCGAAGGATGGGTCCCAGCCAGTTGTCTCCTTTTTCATTATAGGTCCGTCAGCAGGAAAGTTTACGCCGTGAAACATGGATTTGTGGTGGAAGCATTTGCCTTCGAGACTGAAATTGAGAAATCAGTTAAAAAAATAGTTAAGTAAATCTTGTTTCTTGTTTTCTACGTCGAATCCTTATGCTGCAATGTATATGCCTTGAAGAATGATGCTTCAATGTCTAGTCTTAAGCCTCCCGGTTAGCTCAATGGATAGAGC